CCAGTGAATATTACCTTACACAGGGAGCTACTATACAAGTACTTGTACAGCAGTAAAATCCAGCAGCCAAATGAAACCTTGTAAAATAGGTTCTTCTGACACCACAGCTTGTTATTTAAGTTCAATATATATCAGGACAAAAAGAATTTTCAGAGACACAGTAAACTGAAAATGACTGATGATGCGTCATCGGTATGTTATGATTTGCTGATTGATCATCCCTTTTACTTGTCAATACTATATATATCAAGTCCAGTCTAGCTGAAAAGAAAGCGTGCCAGTCTCTGCATTGCAGACTCACTCACCTTGTACGTATTTCACACCTTTCTGATGATAAATTATGTTGCACCGAGGTGCTCTTCCAGCAGTCTTCTGAAACTACAACTTAGTTGTAGAAAACAGTAGCTGTTTTCCCAGCTCCCATTCTTTCTGTGGTAAAGCAGATAAGCACAATTTCAAAAATGTTGAACTATTTATTTAGGATAGGGTCAGCAGAACAGAGACAGAACAAACAAACTTTAACCCTGATCTTGAAAGAAATTGGCCCAAAAACATTCTTCCCACACTAAAAAAAACTGTAAACACACACCCGATGTCAACCATTTATCAGTCAGTTAACCAGCTAGCCATTAACAGTTTCCAGACATCACAGAAAAACAGGGGTTCCCACTGTGTATTTTTTTGTACACTAAACAGACTTTTATAACAATCCAGCTCTGCAAGTGTGGTTGTGTAAAGATTTCCTTTTTCAGCTAAGCAAACACACACTATAATTGCAGAAAGTGAATTGGGTCGTTTTGATTTTCAAAGTTTTAACTTTAGAGCATGGCACCAAAAAGGAGCTCCAGAAAACTTTTAATCTTTATGTTGTTATTGCTGGGCCAGAGTCCATTTTTCACTGTCCAACATTGTCGGTCAGCTCACATTAGTCATTTTTTTATCACTGTGTTGTGTTTGTTTGCTCCTCCGGTTTGTTTGCTCTTTAAGTTCTTTACGAAGTACTTTCACATAACTTATGTTTAGCAGCTGCTATTTATTTATTGACTTTTTTTTATTTTTCTCTCTGTTAGCTGCTCTCCCTCATTTGGTGGTGATTATTAGAAGTGAAGGATTTGTGTTATATGAACTCTAAAACACCATCGGAAGATGGTGAAATATGCTGCCTGTCTGAATCCATCACTGCTATAAAATTAAAATTAATAATAGCACTCAAGGTCATTTGCTTCAGTTGCTTCTAGTGAAGCTTCAGAGAATCCTGTCAGAATTATTTTCTTAAGGCAAACCTTCACCACTAAGCTACGCTTATATGAAACACTTTCTTTCAAAATGAATTCTTTTGAATATGATGGTTTAAGATGCTGAAGTTTTTTTTTTTTTAATTAACACAAAGACACATTAGCAATAGTGTCTTAGCAGTGAGGCCTCATGTACATGTACCAGATCTCTGGTGTTTCCTTACTTCAGTTTTGTTTTGAGCAAGAACATTAACACTGTGCAAGTAGATTATTTGCTGAACTCTTTTAGAGAATATTTAATGGATTGGAAATCAGAGGAAAAAGTCATTTTATGACAAAATAGATTTAAAGTCTACTTAAAGAAGGAACTGCTCCCCTGATAGACATTTTCTTATGCCTGAAGAGTAAAATCAGACACATTATGTTGTGAGGGAGAATACGAACAAGATTCATCTCATGCCAGAAAAGTCAAACATGGTTTAGAGAAAGAATGGTGCAAGATGTTTAATCGGTATGGGGTTTGTGAGAGTTCACAAAAGAACTTGGGATCTGTATAGTGCAGTTCTCTTCTGTGACTATAAGTGGATGTTTCATCAAGTGAAGAAAAAAAGTGGACATAAGATATTTTAAAACAGGCCCCTTATCTGCTCTTGAGTGTTTAGAACAGATTTTTCATGTAAGCACAGAAGAAGGGGAACAGCCTTATCTCTTGCCAAACTGTCTAGTCAGATAGGAGGTTTGCCTCCCATGTCCCATTTGTCCTTTTAATTCTCTTATCACCTTCTTCTTCATCCCTTTGTTTTCATACTGATTTACAACCTGCCAGAGACAGCTGACTCTCTCAGTTTGACCGCACAGAGAATTATAGAGGGAGCATTGAGGGGCAGCCCAGGCCGAGAGAATTCATAGGGAGGAGCTGCTTGTACAGGGTCCATTGATGTCACACACTGGCTTGGGTAGTCTCTGTTTTGGCACAAGGCCGAGACTAGACCAAAGGAGCCAACTGAAGTTAAGTGAGTGAACCAAAAGAATAACTGGAAACTGCATCAGCAAAGACCCTCGAAAAAAAATGTCTGAAAAGGAAAACAATTTTATCTTGAAAGCACAGGAACAAAAGTAGCAAAGGTGAGTGATCAGGGCCAGCAACAGACAGCCAAGGATTCAGAGTTCAAAATGATGGAATGAAAGTCACAAAAGGATGAAGGGAGGGAAGCTAGACAGAGATACAATGAAACTCATTAGAAAGGAGTATTTAAGGAAACCCCGCCGAGTTATCTCTGTTTGACCCACAATGAATTTCTTAGACAATGCCATTCATGAATTTACTGGATGTGCATGCAGCACTATTCAGGTAAAAACAAGGTGGTATTTCTTGGAAGACATTTTGTTACTACAGTTCTAAGTCTCAGTCTGTGATCAGTGGAGACTCATAATGATCCAGTCTCTTATATGTTCACACTGCCTTCCAGTTAATGAGGCTATATGTATTTGTATAATAAATATCCTGCACTGAAGATGGAAAGTGTTTTATCATAATGTGATCACCACACACATTAAACTGTACATTCACACGTACCCAGAGAGATATACAGCAGTCTCTCATATTTCTGTCATCTTTGCCAATGTTGCAGGCAACTTCCATCCGTCAACATTTTTTCCATGTTGTTTTATTCTCTGTACTAATGAATGTAGCATTCATCCATCAAACAAGACAACAGATGTGAGTGTGATGTTGTTATGATGGACAGCGTAGAGAATTATTTATGCAACTGCTTTTGACAGGACAGGACGCAATACCCAAAAACATATCACAATTTTTGTCATATTGATAATTATCAATATATACATACCATTAATGATGGAGGGGAAACATTCAAAATGTTTACATACAGTGTGTTATGGTGAGTACCAATGAATATAAATATGCTTTATAAGAAAACTCTGCAGGGTTCTTTTAATTTGATATTCAAGGAATATACTGAGTCCCAACAAATCACAAAGTTTGTTATGGTTCTGAACAATTGTTAAAGCAATAATTTGACACGCTCCTCAACCAACATAGTCTAACATTTAAGCTTAGTGGACTCGAGGGTCTTCCATGTTGCTACACTACATGTCAGTAGCAGTGGCAAAGTGTGTAAATATGCTCTTCTATTTTTCCTCTGTATTTTGCATAAAGCTGAAGCAGCACTGCTTTAGAAAAATGTTTCCATTCTGGGACAATCTACCCGGAGTCAACAACTTTCATTAGCTTTTGAAACCTGTTTTTTTCTACTGTACTGTTCTCGCTGGCATCATGTCTTTCATCATAAAATATAAAATTGCAGTAGTTGTATCCCTGTTTCCTTTTGAGCACTTATCATATTGGATAATGACTGAAAAGGTAGACAGGAACGACTGCTGCTGGGGTTTGAGCTATAACGTTACCACAAGAGGCTTGTTTGAGAGTTTGGGAGCAAGTGCTAGTGCTGCAAATTAGGAGCCCAGACTTCAGCTTTCTGTATAGTGGGATGCTAATGTTACCTTTTCAAATGGTGGAAAGGTTTAGTTCTCTTTCCCATCTTCACTGCCATAGGTGAATATCCAGTGTACAATATGCTGCCTGCATATTGTTCTCTCTGTATTATTTATCCTGTTTTAAAAAGGCGACCCATTTCCAAATCACAGTTTTGTGTGTTTCATCATCCTGTACGGCCATCTGATTCCCCTTAGAGGTGCTGTTTTTCCTTGTTTTTACCCTTTGTCAGCTACAATATGTAACCCAATTACTCTAATAGGGTTATTGTGCAAAGGGTTGGTTCAAAAGCACAGCAGATACATTTGTCATAAATTACTCATCCATTTATCACTGTTATTGTGAGATTTGTTTTCATAATAGTTACAGAGATAATTTTATTCTTCTTTGGCTGTCTTATCAGTTATTATTATTTACATGTTCTATAACAAATGCCACTGTCTTGCACCTGGAAGAGATATGGTGGATGTTGGTGTGTGTGTTTGTGTGTTGCACTCAGCATGGACAAATACACCTGTGTTTTGCTTATCTGCAATTTGTCAATAGTCTCTTTAGAGCAAATTTGTTCTTATGAGTCTGAACACTTCCATAACTCAGGCCTGGGCTCATCATGATTCTCCTGGAATACTCTCCAGCAACATCAGGTATCAAGTAAATGATATTAATATTAAAGATTCACACTGTTTCCCTAGCATGCTCATTGTCTCTCCAACAAAAGACAGTCTATCTTAAAAGTAAATAAATAAAATACAAATAAAATATTTGGTGTCAAAAGGCATCACAAGTTAAAGTATTTTTGAATGATGAAATTCCCACAAAAGGCTCATACTGGGGAGATATTTCAAGGTTTTTAAAAGCTGTTGTTCATTTCTAATGCACTGAGTCATAAAATTGAACTCATTTCGAATCTGTGACTCTTTCACTTTTCTAAACTCAATTATCTGGGGGCTATTACAGAAGTAAAAGTAAATAGAACTAGGATTATTGGAATTAAGTCAGTCTTGGGAGAAAAAGTTTCTAAATTCAGACTTATTATTCCACAGTGAAAAGGTTTGCTCGCCACCACTTATGTCCATAAAACTCGCCGGTAGAAGCGTCACCCCACGCACATGTTGGGCATGGTAATTAAGGCCGATTCAAAGAGTGACCATGGTGGCGATTAGCAAATCACATCACTATTGTGTTTCCTTCAGCTAAAAGTGGGGTTAATGAGGTTTTACATTATGTGCTAAATTATGTTAATAAAGTTTTATATACAGTACAGTATTTAACAACCACCCGGATCATCCTTATGCTGGAGAACGCTGAGCTGCAGGTTATAATAAATACATGATATGCAGTATGTATAAATACATGACATCTTGTTCCAGAATCCTGTAAAACCTTTAAAACTCGCTTTTGTCCATTTTTTAAAAAGAAAATCTTGTTTTGTGCTGCACAGAGATGTAATAATAGAGCAAAGCTGTATTACATCATTAATGTCTGTGCAAAAATGGAGACAGACGGCAAACACAGCTTCCTTCATGCCTGTCTACAAACACTGCCTCTACCTTTTCTGGAGAGATGCATTTGTTGACATTTCATAGTTGCAAAAACAAGGTTAATTGTCACATCCCTCACTGATGTTTGCAATAGGGTAGAAATGGAACCTAGACTTGTACAGAATTAAACTCGGTGCTGCTAGCGAAATGCCTCTGTACTCTGTCAACTTGAGTTCTGTTCATTTAATGACACTCCATAGCAGATAAGTAGGGACTAAGGGAATAGTTATAGCCCCTTTTACATAGTAAACAAATGCTGCCTTGAAGTCTGAATATTTAGATTCTGTGCGAAGAAGTCATAATAACACAGTTCATTTAGTTTTATCTTTTTTTGTCTGTGATATAGTGTATTACTTTCCCAAGATCTCATACATTCTGTCACACTTTATAAAATGCTTCAGTCACACTTTTATGATGCTTTTTAATTTTTAATCTTAGCAGTAAAGTATTAATCTCTGCAAAATATTACATTTTCATGAAGGTTGTCCTAAAGGATATTTCTCTTCACATCACATCATCCCAGGATAGTTTTCATTGTCCACATTTATTGAAGGATCCATGCTTGCTATTGTGTTTCTAGTTTACAAAACGGCACAGATTTATCCTCACACTGTGCCTTATAACACTTACGTATACAATAGGAGCATAAATCATTGTTTTTATGTTTTTGGGCTTTTTACAAAAAACAATAGTTAGCAGGACAACACACTGTCTGCGTTCAGGCTCAGGTATACAAAAAACAAGCAGACACACAAAATGAGCCACATCATGTCGCCATAGTACGGCACCATCTTGCCTTGTAGCGTGTCTAGCAAAGGTCTGATGCGCTTTTATCGTGTGGGAGTGGAAAGTATGTTGACTTCTGCAATAACTGTCTGGTTTGGTGTGTGTCTGCACAAGACAAGAGGTTGTTGAATAAGGTTGTGCACTGTGCAACAAAAAGTATTGGGTGTGATCTTCTGTCATTGGCGGAAATCTATAGTACAAGATTACAAAATGAAGGGCTTAAGATTTTGAAATATCCATCAAGGTTGTGGCCTTTTTAACTTTCTATCCTCTCAAAAGAGGCTTAGAAGTATTAAAACACCAGCAGCCAAACTTCGGAGTAGCACATATCCTGAAGCTGTCCAGCTTTTAATTATTGTCGACTCTGCACTGCTGGTTGCTCGCTAGGTTTTAATGGAAGGTCATCTGGAGATGAGGTTTTATTACATATTTTGTATTTCCTGTTTGGGTATTGTTTTATGTTATGATTAATAGTTTTTTTTTAAAATCATTTTTAATAATTTTCTTTCTTGTTTCTTGAGGGAGTGTTTTACTGTTGACGTTGTGGGACCACCAAGACAAATTCCACTCAACAGTGTTTATATGGCAATAAAGTATTGCAACTTGATACAAAAAGCAGAAACAGAAGAGTGGTAGGTGGTTTAAATGTAATGAGGAAAGGAAGAGGCATGTGATCGGACATGGTGCTGGTCCTGAACTTCAGATTTAAATTTCCAGTAGGCACTAACTTAAGGAGTAATGAATTTGCATCCATAGTATGTGACAGGGTAAACATACATTAATAAACCTGAATTAACTTCAATACCTGCTTCGGATTAAGTCAGAAGTTAGAATGTGTTATTTTTGGCCCGATATGAGGTAACATTTCAAGTAACAGAGGTTTTGCTTTTGTTTCCACTCAGGATAGCGGTATGTTCTATCTGAATATGGCCAGTGCTGAGCCAATGAACCTCATCCTTACATCGCCAGACAAAGCTTATGGTGTGAACAACCTCAACGACAGTGCTAACATTTATGTAAGTAATGTCTCTCTGTTTCTGCATTAACATTCAGACTGTGCTCACGCAGTATTGTTCTATATGCAGGATAGATGGATGTGTGCAGAGCACATGTGAAGGGAAATAAAATCATCATGCAACATACCATTAACTTAAGTTCATGTGTTACTTACTAATACTAAATAATCATGAAAAAAGAATGGGGTGTCGGTACACCACTGTGAATTCACTGCTTCATCAGGATCATTCAGAATTCTCCAGATGCATTAACTTCTTTCCAGTGCCAAATATTTTACATGGAGTCAAACTGCCACAGCTGTGTACCACTCTGGGCGTGTCTAGAGACAAAGTGAACCATGCTGCTTCTCTACAGATATTTCCTAGTGGCTGAACAGTTCTTTTTCTTTCTAAACCCAGATCCTCTTGGTTGTGGTCAGCAACAATTACAGATAGGTTACATTATTGCTGAGCATTTTCCAAAGCTTATCAGCCCTTGAAATAAGCAGCTGCAACCTTTGCCGTTCACTTTGTCAGAGTTAAATTTTTGTACAAATGACTGTAGCACTTAGTTCTCTTTATGGATGAATGCATTTTTCTTATCTCCTGTGCAGTCACTGAAAGGAAAAATCACAGTGAACAATTTGCCATTGCTATTTGTTTCCACAAATGTATCATTGCATTTTTAAAACATTCATAATCTTGGCTTGTTTGAAAAGGTTGTCCTAGGAACACTTAAAATTGAACAGCCAGCTGCCAAACAGTGACCTTTTAAATGTAAGCTGCTCTTAAATTATATGTTTATCATGGCATTTTAGCTGGTTGGTTGTCTTTTTTGAGCTTATAACAAAGTAGCTCTTAAGTGAAAGGCTGTTTGGCAGCTGATTCACACATGCCAGAGCTTTCTCCTGCACATGAATGCATCACTTAGAAGACCTTTCAGAAGCTTTTCTCTTTAACCATATCGACACAAAAACTATTTCATGTTGAGTGTTTATTGTGCTCACAACCTAGTATGTAAATGTTCTTTCATGCTGACATTGATTGACACTACTGGGAGACGGGCTGAGCGTTATTTTAAAAAGCTAGGACATGCTTGAAAACACTCAGCAGTGCTGTACATTTTTTTTCCATGTTTGCTTATAAAAACAATAAAATCACAGCTGACCACAATGATGAAATGTTTACAGGAATGCTATCAGTTCCTGATATGCTGACAGCAGTGTGGTACCACATCCCATATCATGTCGTGTCAAGAGGCTGCCTGGACAGCATTGTCTCTGACTACAGGATGTTTTTGTGGGATGAGCAGTATCACTAGGGGATAATAGTGTTTTACTACAGATTGCAGTGTAAGAGGAACAACATCTGCTCTGCATCTGAGAAAATACATCACCAGCTTGACAGCCTGGCTCAGTGTCACAGTCACAGTGCTCGCTGGCCTCCTATAGCTGACCTGAGAACATAGGGTTGCTCAAAAACATGCGGACAACAAGATTTTTGTTTATAAAGTCTTATGAGTGTTCTCACCTTTTCAGTATACTATGTAATAGGTTATTAGTTGCAAAAAGCAGCACACTTTACACAGTATTATATACTTATTTTTAATATACCTGATATACTTTTAAGTATTAAATATTTAATGGAAGAATCTAATGTTATTGATCAAGTGAAAACATGGAGCCTAGAATCTTAGACTTAAACATCATCATCTTAGACTTGTACACAGCAGGCTGCTGGGGAAAAAGCACCATCAGTACTTTCTGTAATCACACTCCTCTCTCAAAACATCCTTATGTTCCTTGAACTTTACTGTGAGCCTGCAGAATATCAAACTGCTTTCCCAGAAACTAATCTGCATTAAATTCTACTGTAATCATAAAAGCGATTACCACTGTTATTCCCCTTGTTTTTCTCATCCTGTTTTTCAGGCCTTTCCCTGTCTGCCTTGGTCTATCATGACTGTTTTTTTTCTTTTATTTGTGATCGTGCGTCAATGAAATATTTGTGAAAAAAAAAAAAAGACTGACTCCCTCAGTCTCTCTTGGCTTTCACCTTTTATATCCTGTCTCACTTTATGATGCAATGCAGTCACAAACACACATTCGAGACAGGTCAGACAGGGGATTTTCATTATTTAAATAAACATATTCACATATGAGAAACATTAACAGTATGATTTAGAAGAAATATAGTACTTTCTATGTTTACTCATCACACTATCATTTTTTTTGTGTTCATCCACAGCCAACATATCCAGCCATCATCAAGAATGATGCAAACACTGACAACAGAGGCTGAGTCATTGTTGAGTCACACTGTCCAAGCTTAAAAATAAAAAACATTAAAACAAAGCACAAAAAGAGCAAAAAAAAAAAAGGTTTTAGTTTCTAATCTCACTTGAAATGACAGATTTCAGAAAAATATTTTTGCTCAGGAATCTCATTGTGCTCATATAAAACTATCCCTGACCAAGGTGAGCTGTTTTTGAGTGTCTGTGCATAGGTGTTTATAAATGAAAATCTGCAGCACTTTATTTTTCTCCTGAAGAAGAGAGAGGAAAATCAGAGTAGATTAAAATCCCATGAAGGTTGAACCAAAAATAAAACTGGAACATGTTTTTTTTTCCTGGAATCATTATTTATTGAGCACATTTTTAGATATTTGTGTATAGAATTCTATTGTAGACAGTCCCCACTTCTCTAGGCCTAACACATTCCTTAATTGCATGCAAAGCTTGATGCAAACGCCATTATTTCTCATTGGCCCAGACAAGGAAACAGCAGTGTCTAGTCAATGAGATGGATGTATATATTTATACCTTGTATGGAGCCAGATTCCAGCCGACTGTGGTGACGCACAAAGCTAAAAAAGGTCCCATTTCCTGGCCCCACTCAGGAAGCAAAGGAAAGACCTTGGCTCCAACGGGGTTGTGCAACTGGGCTCGTGGACACTTAAACATAATAAACATTCCTTTTTAACAGAACCCTTCTAAGAGAATAGAGGGATATGTGGGTGGAGGGTTAGAAAAAGTAGTTTGATGTGACAAAATCTAAGCAGTCATGAGGTAAAAATAAATATAAATTTGACTCATTCACTTATTGTAGCAATGAGTAACAGACAGACGTGTGCCTTTTAGGACCTAAGTGACTCTGACACTATTCTTTCTGGAAATTACTTTTGAAAAAACCTAATGGACATGATGTGTGCTCTACTTTCCAGAAAAACACCAACTCCACAATTACGCTATATCCTAATTCGGGCAGTACCAAAAATATCTACAGGCAAGACTTCCCCACTCAAGATGAGGAGCTAGTCGAGTGGGCAAGGCAGAAGTTTGGGGGTGTGACTTCATTCACTACGATCCGAAATATGAGAAGTATCTCAAAGCAAGCAAAAGGTATTTTTATGTGCAACTATTAACACAATTTTTACACTAACAGGGGTTCCTGCTAAATAACATGGGCTGTATTTGCCAGGTTGGCTGGAGTCTTTCCAATGCCTGGTAACAGGAAACAAATCTTTATAGAATTCTATCAGATACTGTAAAAGACTATCTGCCTAAAGTGTTTTGGATTTATCAGTTTTGTCACCCATGATTTATTTATTTATTTATTTATTGCTATCTGCATCTGTGTTTGGTCTAAAACAATACTTTTGTGCCCAAGAGAGCAAAGTGACTACACTCAGCACAACCTACAGCTCCAGCTTAGATAACTCAGTAGCCAGTCTGCAGTACAGTTATCAGGGATGGATGTCGTGTTGTTTTCAGAGCTCTCTTGATAAAATTCATCACTAACCTTCTCTTTTTTAATGTTTATATAAAACCCCTTTCTGACAAAATCACTGAGAAAACACTGTGCTGTGATGAAGGCTGCAGTGCACTGAAAATCCTGCATATTATCTTTTGATTGTTACACTTTATTTTAATAGAAAGGATTTCATCAGCATATTGATTTCCAATGTGCCCATGTTGGTTGTAGGGATTCAGGCCAGAGCATAATAGTGCAAGATGAACAGATTTTTCAGTGACAGATGCAGATATATAAATGCAAATGAAATGTAATATGAAGTTTTGATCATTTGGTTTTACAAAACAAAAAAAACAAACACTCATAGTACATACAGACTACATACAGTGCCTTGCGAAAGTATTCGGCCCCCTTGAACTTTGCGACCTTTTGCCACATTTCAGGCTTCAAACATAAAGATATAAAACTGTAATTTTTTGTGAAGAATCAACAACAAGTGGGACACAATCATGAAGTGGAACGAAATTTATTGGATATTTCAAACTTTTTTAACAAATAAAAAACTGAAAAATTGGGCGTGCAAAATTATTCAACCCCCTTAAGTTAATACGTTGTAGCGCCACCTTTTGCTGCGATTACAGCTGTAAGTCACTTGGGGTATGTCTCTATCAGTTTTGCACATCGAGAGACTGAAATTTTTGCCCATTCCTCCGTGCAAAACAGCTCGAGCTCAGTGAGGTTGGATGGAGAGCGTTTGTGAACAGCAGTTGTCAGTTCTTTCCACAGATTCTCGATTGGATTCAGGTCTGGACTTTGACTTGGCCATTCTAACACCTGGATATGTTTATTTGTGAACCATTCCATTGTAGATTTGGCTTTATGTTTTGGATCATTGTCTTGTTGGAAGACAAATCTCCATCCCAGTCTCAGGTCTTCTGCAGACTCCATCAGGTTTCCTTCCAGAATGGTCCTGTATTTGGCTCCATCCATCTTCCCATCAATTTTAACCATCTTCCCTGCCCCTGCTGAAGAAAAGCAGCCCCAAACCATGATGCTGCCACCACCATGTTTGACAATGGGGATGGTGTGTTCAGGGTGATGAGCTGTGTTGCTTTTACGCCAAACATAACGTTTTGCATTGTTGCCAAAAAGTTCGATTTTGGTTTCATCTGACCAGAGCACCTTCTTCCACATGTTTGGTGCGTCTCCCAGGTGGCTTGTGGCAAACTTTAAACGACACTTTTTATGGATATCTTTAAGAAATGGCTTTCTTCTTGCCACTCTTCCATAAAGGCCAGATTTGTGCAGTATACGACTGATTGTTGTCCTATGGACAGAGTCTCCCACCTCAGCTGTAGATCTCTGCAGTTCATCCAGAGTGATCATGGGCCTCTTGGCTGCATCTCTGATCAGTCTTCTCCTTGTATGAGCTGAAAGTTTAGAGGGACGGCCAGGTCTTGGTAGATTTGCAGTGGTCTGATACTCCTTCCATTTCAATATTATCACTTGCACAGTGCTCCTTGGGATGTTTAAAGCTTGGGAAATCTTTTTGTATCCAAATCCGGCTTTAAACTTCTCCACAACAGTATCTCGGACCTGCCTGGTGTGTTCCTTGTTCTTCATGATGCTCTCTGCGCTTTAAACAGACCTCTGAGACTATCACAGTGCAGGTGCATTTATACGGAGACTTGATTACACACAGGTGGATTCTATTTATCATCATTAGTCATTTAGGTCAACATTGGATCATTCAGAGATCCTCACTGAACTTCTGGAGAGAGTTTGCTGCACTGAAAGTAAAGGGGCTGAATAATTTTGCACGCCCAATTATTCAGTTTTTTATTTGTTAAAAAAGTTTGAAATATCCAATAAATTTCGTTCCACTTCATGATTGTGTCCCACTTGTTGTTGATTCTTCACAAAAAATTACAGTTTTATATCTTTATGTTTGAAGCCTGAAATGTGGCAAAAGGTCGCAAAGTTCAAGGGGGCCGAATACTTTCGCAAGGCACTGTATAGAGCTGAAGATAATGCTACTTGCCCCCAAAACCTGCATTACGAACTGAATCTGACCCCACATATTCCCATATTTGGAATCTTCTATATGTAAGCTTTATGTGTGACTTTTCCAGAAATTTCCAGGGGAATGCTGGATGTCCTTAGTGTTGTCCTCATTTTGCTTTGTTTTCATTTTTAAATTTTAAATTATTTTTATTTTGAGAAAATGCTTTATTTTCAGCCACTCTTGTTATTGCCAGTGTTTTAACTGACTCATAGTCCACAAGGGCATTAAAATTACTTAAGCAGAAAAACAGTTTACATGGCTGTTTTGTTGTATCTCTTGGCCTGCGTTGGGGTGTTAGATGAACTTGCGTAGGCCTTGTTGTAGGCGTTTGAAATGTCTGTGCAGTGACTACACACTAGAATGGTGCCAAGTTGAAAGCTCACTGAGCAGAAAATATGTACATATCCCTCAGGTTTTTTGAATGTGTCAGTGTGGTTTGAAATTCCCTGCATGCTGTTCTTGTTAAAAGTTGGTAAGTTTCCTCTCTGCAAAGGCTGCAGCGGTGGTCAGTTAGAATTTAACTTGACTGTCATATACTCAGTGATAATGCATTTCAGATTTCTCAGTGACTCCTGTGGCATAATTCACTTTTACCCCCTTGTATGTTCCAAACACTCAACAAAACATGTCTCGGCATACTTGGCTTTGTGTGATAAGGCTATACCAAGTGCTGGGGAAAACATAAAATGTTTCTCCCCCATTTTAGTAGTGTTTTGAAACAAAATGTGTGTTGCGATTTGAGCACTGCACCAGGGTGCACTTATAAACCATCATTCACCATTATTTGGTCAAAGGATGGGCATAGCATCCTCTCAGGAGACTGGTCCGAGAACATCTTCCATAGAGGGAAAGGCAAGAGGCTAATGTGCCTGCCCCAGCAGTTTGGTCTGCTGTTGCAGACTGCTCTATGGCTCCCCAGCGCTGGCTACCAAGTAAAACATTGTAAACTGAAATGTTCTTTCAGAGCAAAACTCAGTAAAAGTACTCTGTTAAATACAAATAAAACAGATTTATTACAGTGTGTGTGTGTGAGTATGTATGTATGTATACACACACACACACACACACACACACACTGCTATTGAAGCAATTTTTTTGTTTTACTACCATTAACAATGTTTGTGGTTACAGGAACCAAACCTGGCTCTCATATCTGTACACTTACAAAAGAAGATCCATTAGAGAAGCACTTTATGAAGATTGAAACAACAGCTTTGGCCTCTTCGGTCAAATCTTGCTCCCCACAGCAACAGAACCGTGATGGCGAAGCTGAGATTCACATCATAAACATCCCAGAGAATGCAATCATTAGGTAAACCTTGAAATTCCCAAGACAATAACATTTCATGTATTGTTATCCTGGTTAGCAAAAGTTGTCTTACAATTTATGAATCTTTATATTCCAGCAATGTGATAGTTCACATGGAAACAAAGAACAACAAATCCAGGGTGTTCCTGCGAGGTCCACAGGGCACCACATGGACCTTCGTCAACCCACAATTCACCCAGTTTTTGGTAAGGGCACACTTTACATACACCCATTTCCATAATTATAGTCCCAAAAGATACCATATTTTCAGCTCATTACTGATCTATTTTTACTTATCTTTTTTTACAGTCCAACAATGACATCCTGCTGCCTGTCTTTAAACACAGAATTAAACCTTCAATTACACTGAAAAGTGACAGTGCAGCGGATGTGCAAAGGGTCGCTTTGTATAATTTTACAGCTACTACTTTTACCAGCTATACTGAACTCAGGCCAGAGGAGTCTACAATTTTACTGGTTCTTGGAAAAAAAGGCAACCCTGCAGGTAAGACAGTGAAAGGGAAAAAGTTGTTTTAAGTCATTCTCTACAGAGAGAGTAGATGGAGTACTTCAGAAAGCCATAGCCCACACATAACAATGCTACACAGTGCCAGCAACAAGATGAGAACTCGGGAGGATGTTTATGACTGTAATAACAGTATCATTTGTAATATTTATCGTCATCATTACCATTATCACATGTAGTATATTACTTTACATACACAGTATGCTGTGCTGTAATTTAAATGACTTTTTTGAGGGGTCTTAACGGTGATTAATATTAACACTGGTAAAACTGATTCCTTGATGATCTTTGTTTTAATTTTAGCCGTTTTTCTCTTAGTTACAGAAACGGTACCAGAACCCATTCCCGTTACAACTAATGCCCCTCATTCAATGCCTCTGTCGATACATCTGTACACCTCCCCGGACTACCGTTCTCCCCTGGACCCTCACACTAAGGTGCAGAGTGACAAGAGAATTTATGCAGAGGTATGAAATCATTCACCCTCTTAGCTGCATTTGAATCTAAATATATGGTGGAATATAAAACAGCAGTAAAAAGGCTTATAATTTACCAGCAACGATCCTGCCCCATACATTTCAAAATCACTTTACTGCACTTATGTACAATACTGTACTGTATTTCACAGCTATTTAGACTCAAGCTTTTATACCTTGAGTATAGCATCTGTATCAAACCTCGCCATTGCAGTTCATCTGATCCTTTCTCTGTTTCCTGTAGATTTCAGGGCACACTTTAGGGGCTATGGTCTTGACCATCGAGGTGAACAAATGTGTCTTGCGCCCCAAGGATTCATGCCCTGTACTGATAGAGCTGCCCTACATTCAAGAGGCCTGCTCCTCAAATTCTTGTCCCAGCAGCACCCGGCTCAGCTTCTCCTTAGATCAGCTCCAAGAGCTGACATCCACCAAATGGGACCTGGAATGTTCTGTTAAATTTTGCTACAATAAGGTAGGAGTTCATCAGCTATTTATGATGTAGCACTTGAAATAAACCATGTCAAATGAAAATGCTTTTATCCATAAATAAATAAATACTTGCACTGAAATGAGTAAAGCACTTTAAATATATCTGACAGTGCAGTGGATCTGTTGTGGTTTGGTGATTTTGATGGGACCTCTCTTCATTTTCAGTATTTATACTGTAACTTAAATGCTTATGGTAAACCTATGACGTGATGATCTTTTTGTTTGTTATGTATTATTATTATTATTATTGTTGATAAGTTGTTTTTACCACCTCACTAGAAATGTGGAGATGGAGGAAGCGTGAAGAAGGATCTGGAAGTTACCCGGCCGTGTCCATCACCACCAAGTGAGTTTAGTTTGAGCTCCAGAATATGAATACATGTTTTAAATTGTGCACAAGCAGCCAGCATTTTGACCCATATTGGTATACATTTTTTATTGTGGCCTTTTTTTTCACAAACACCCTTTCTGGTATTTTTTAACGTGGTCTTGTCACACTTTTTTTTTTTTTTTATCTAAGTTTTGCTACGCAGTGGAAAGCTTTTGATAGATTTGTCCCAAATTCTCTCAATTCACCTATTTTTTAATTCCTTCTTAGTAGTGTTGTATAAATTGTATATATATAAATGTTATATGTATAAATAGGCAGATCAGTAGAGATAAATGGAAAAAAATTGCATCACTGTCAAGGGTGTGTTCCTTTGTTCAGTTGGTTTTGTAGTTGCTATGTTTTTAAGAGAACAAAGCAAGAACTACAAACCTAATTGCTTTCATATTAATGGAAATGCACTAAACAACACCACCAAATGCAGAGAATTACACTGATTCACACAGTAGTGTCGGCATTGATGGCATCCTTCAGTTGAAAAATTCTTTCATTATTGATTACCATGAAGATGAATGTTTCATATTTAATTCTCACTATACACCCAGAGGAAAAACAAAAGTTCTAAATTACCTTATTTTGCCCAGGACTTAATTGCTAGTCTGGTGTTTGTCAGTGTATTGATGCTCGCTACTATAATTTCCATTGCTATTGTTGCTTTCAGTGCACAACAAATGCTGCGCAAGCGGTTGTCATGGCAGTGAGCTCAGGATATGCAGTGAAGCCAGTAAGGGGATGCAGGGCAGGGCCTTGTTCTTTAGGAAGGTCTGCAGGCTGACCTTGTGGCCACAATCAGAAGTAATGGCCCTCAGGGGAAAGGGGCGAAGTCCTTTGTGTTTCTAAGAGAGTCGGACTGTGTTGCTGTCCAAACACAGCCACTAGGCCTGGCGCTATTGTCGGACCATTCAACATATTTGATTCAAACAAGGAAAGATGTCTTTTCTGCAGAGAAAGGGGCCTACAGAGAGATGATTCATGTCTAGGGAAATTCAGATGTTTCCATTTCTGACTAAAAGGACACACGCAGCAGATGTTGATTAAGCTGGGGAACACCTGGAGTTTGCAAGACTTATTCGTAAAGCCGACAAAGGATTTGCTTATTCCTTATGGTTCTTGCAGTGTATGTGGTAGAGAAGCTGATTAAACTATTCATCCATGCATTCCTGGGTTTTGTTTGCCTGTCTGTTTTCTGTTTTACTTTAACTTACGTAATTAGAAATGTTTTTCTGGTTCAGGAAAGGAATTAGTTGTAAAGGTACATGTGTGGCTCTGTTCATTAGCCAGTGTCAGAGGTACAAGGGTTATATCAGCAGGATTGGAGTACTGCATTCTGCAAGCCTTCACTGTGCAGGACTGAGTGCTCCATTCAGTAGTCCTTCCTGTTTGGTAGTTTTCATGGCGAGGGCTCCAGGGAGTCACAGTACAGGCCTGCTGTCTGTCTCCTCCTCTCCACCTGCACTGGATCCTCTGCTTCCTGCTCCTGTTTATTCAGCTTTGCTGTCAAAGCCTCATTTATACAAACTAACACAGCAACTGATCACACAAAATATACTCTCAAGAGAAAGGCTGCTGGAGCTGCTGTAATGTTTGTGGCCAATTCAGGCTAACGAAAGGTTCCTCTCTGACAGATTAACAAATTGGGCTGATTGTCTGGGATGCAGTTGGCTCAAATAGCCACAAGATGTCACTATTTCAGTGCTCCAAGTTATGTTTGATTCAGCTGATTTTTGCTATTGTTTAATTAAATGTCAGCATAACAGCTTCATAATTTTAATTTAAAAAATGAAATGAAGCCCCATTGAGCCAATTGTGTACAGTATCAGACTTTATACTTCAAATATCGGTTTTTATAAAACAAACCCGCTGTTTTCTGTTCTTCATGTCCTGTCTTTAATGTACCTCAGGGAAGGAGAGCTGTATTGTTTGAAGCCCAGTGTAGTACTTAGCCTAGCACATTCCTCCAGGAGGCAGGAGGCAGCAGAGGTAGGTGAGAGAAACACATGGAAAGGTGATGATTAGTTTCTTCCAAATGTTGTGGATACGTGTGGGAGGATCTCTTCAGGTGACAGAAAAAGGGAAGAGAAAGAAACACGTGTTTGCACATGGTTGTTCTTGACAATACAACATAAAGCATGAACACACACTTAGTTCTTGTGCCCTTCAAGTACAGATTTTGTACAAAATGTAGGTCTTTAAAACAACTGAACAACCAAATTAGCCCAGTCAGATAAAGAAGAGCCCAAAGCAAAGTTTAGGTCATAATTATAATACCCCAAACTGATTTTTGTATCAAATTATTTAAGAACACCTGCCATTCTTTTTCCAACTTGGAAATTAGAAGTGAAAATTATTAGTGATCAGTAACTGTGCAGCGAGTACAGTGATTTGTTTTGCCGTCAGATGTCAGAGGAATTAGAGGTGACATCTACAGTAAGTGAAGGGGAAAACTGCCAATGATCTATTATACAGCGTTCTTGAAATGACATCTGCTTCAAGGTAGTCCATTCGTGGCCTTGCCGGATCACAATGAATGAAGCAGAACTGTGGAATGGCCTTGCTAGGCTAATACATGTCTGTCCAACGGGTACTGTGTGTCAGAGGCTTGAGTGAGTTTCTGAACTGTTTTGAAGGAATGTGATTTTTTTTTTTTTGTTTTACTGCTGCTGGCTCAGTTTTCTGTTTTCTGTTATGTTTAATAGCAGTTCAGCACGTTGTGTGCTAAACACCAGCACACAGCTTGCCCAAAGAACATCACTAGTGCCAAGCTCAATTGTAAATTGAAATTTGTATCATTAAATCAACAGAGAAAATGACAGAGCAGAAATAGACTTTTTAAATTTCACTTTGGCTAAAATTTAACCCTGCAAAAATAATGACAATTAGAATTTATGCATGGGTTTGCACCGAGGCAGCTGTTAGTTTTAGCATGTGCCAGTAAGAACATCAACCTCTATAGATTTAAAACTTGGTAACTGTCTACTACAATAAACATTTAGGTGTCTCATTCAAATTTTTCCTTAAAAAAATCATTAATTTTAGACTTGAAAGTAGGGACTATTTAAAACACACCTTTATTGGCATATAAAAGAACGGCTCCTTCATCCTGAATTTGAGATTCAGCTGCCAAAACCATTTTATTCACCAGACACACTAGTACTGATACTGTTAATAACTTCAAGAAGATTCAGCATTGGAAGCCGGCACTGTGACTTCATATCTGTGAGGGTTCTCTGGAAAAATGAGTCAAGTTTCTGGAATTCATGAACTTTTTGTTGTCAGGGCAAAAAATATTTGATCCTACTGTATACCTTTGCAAGTATTTGAAATACACTATAATATATGGCAGCTTGGAATCGGATTACCGTAACACTGTGACATCCAAAACAATATCAGAATGTGCACTGTGAATACCAAACTACTGAATATTAAAGGCACATCAAGCGTGTGTAAATTTATTTTCATTTTGTGATTGCACCAGCAGCAACCATTAGCTTTGACCTTTGGTGTTTTCTATCCTTTAACTGAAGCTTGCATATGTTTTATGTGTATGTTTCAGCCCAACCATGCTTTCACTTCGGCCTACTTGATGTTCTGGGCATTGCATTTGGAGGGTTCCTTATTGGAGTATTACTGATTGGAGCACTGTGGTTTATCAAAATTAAAACAGGTAAATGTATGACCAACAACATAGTGTTTCAAGTTGAATATACATATAGATCTGAATGCATGTTTGTCTGGATATGAAATGGTCTTTATTCTTTTTAATTCAGGATACCCAACTAGATTGGACATGAGCTCAACAGCAGCAAATCTTCCAGGTAAAGAATTCTTTTCCCCATTACTATAATTATTATTACTACTATTATTATTATTACTATCTTTTATTTTTCCTCTTTAGGATGTCCATGCTCAGGAGCAAAACGACAACCAGTTTCTACCAAGCCTTCCCCGTCTGAAGACAGCAGCGCCAATGCTAGCATTGGAAGCACCCAAAGCACACCGACCAGCAGTATGGCGTGAGGTGCAGGGCCGCCATCTCCATTCATAGTCAACTATATGGGTTTTGTGCTTTTGTTTTTGTAATGCTTATAAAGCATTTCTCCTTGTCCCCTTAAAATTCTCATTTAAAAAGCACAACCCACATCTTTGACACACTAAGCCTGAAATGGGTGTAATTTGGGAGTTTTCAGTGGTGGTGGGAGTGACTGGATGACGGATAATAGAAGTCTTATCAATGATGCTCACCTCTGCAGCCTCTCTGTTAAGTTGAGCTTCTAGACAGGAAGTTAAAGAGGGCAGGAGGAAAAAAATGGCTCACAGCAACAGGAAAAACAAACCATATCCCCAAGAGGTAACAGGAAATTCACTGCATTCCTTTCAATGAATTGTGCTCATGTGATGGCAGCACAATAATAGTTAGACAGGAGACAAATCAGTCAAAAGAATGAATTTTAAAACAGATACAAAGTTGTTATGTTTTCACATCACAGTCCAAAAAGTTACCAATAATGGCAACTGAAACCCACAACATGTTAGGCTCTCAAACCAGTTTATGAAATGCTTACTTCAAGGGGTATTTGTCTTAATTTGAGTTCAAGGTCAATGATTAACAACTACCTCCTGTTATTTAGAAGTCTTGAGATTTCTCTGTTGAATTGATCTTTTTTCTGCCTTTATCATTTTTTTTTGTTTGTAAAATTCTATTTCACTTCAGGTGAATCTTAAAGCTGACCCACTAGGTCATTTGTAGCTCATGAAACAAAGTTACACGGTGCCATTTTCATGTTATCCAATAACTGTATAAGGGCTTTCGTATCAAGGGTTCTTTAGTGTTTATTGAAAGTTATAGAGAAGTACAGTATACTGTACTTGATTGGATTTATAACCCCACAACACCAATCTCAAATCATCATTATTACCCAAAGGTAGCAATAAAATATGAGCCATTAAGAAAAAGTAGCTTTTTATTTGTGTAAACTCAAAAATGGTCACACTTGTGTTGTACTGTACTGAACGCAGAGATGAATGGCTGTGTTCAGAGTTGAGTAATGTACCTATGATGAGGTAGTACCAAAACTCTCCACATCCGTTTTCAGACCCTCACACTCATATATGGACTTAAGGACCACTCATGTAGCTACACCCACAGGGTGGAGTTTCCCCAAAATAGCCTGTCTGGAGGTTACATTCCAGTACTTTTCCTATGCACAGTATCTGTTCTCATCAGAGTTTGCTGCAAGTCCTTCACCACTGCCTAACATCTGTAATGTCTGTAGTAGCATGCACAAACACACACAAACAAAAAGACCTTTATGTAATGCATTAAAGTGTTTTCAGGCCAATTTAACCACCAGCCTACACTATAAACCATTACTCTTCCTGTATTTGAGAACCAAGACGACATTTTCCATCTATAAACTGTCCAACTTGCTTGCTCATATTCAATGGCTTTTTAATCAAAATGTAGCTAGTCACTAATGTTCTACTCTATCTTGTGAATGGAGATGAGTGCACATAAGGGAACACATTATCAGACCTCTAATGGATGATATGGATCACAAACGCATTCAAAAAGTTTTCTTTGACAGCCAAGCTGTCCTTGATTCTCGCAGTAGATTAAGAGTTGCCACCTCGATGTGACCAAACTCCCAGTGAGGTGCAGGTACAAACAATAGGCTGTAATATTCCATAATTAATTCTTAAACAGAATGAAACTAAACATGTGGCATTTAAAGAAAATGTATGTGGACTGTACATCATTCAAGGTCCCCCCACTAAATTAATACACCTCATTTAGGCTTGACAGTATAATCAATAACAACAGCAGCATAATGGCACATTTGGTATGTTATATTTACCTTAGATTAATTAGTGTGTTGTGCGTTTCCACATGAAGACCACTTCAAAATTCTAATTTTGCTTTATTTGCAGCTATCACACATTTGTAATGATATGGAAACTGTCATTCAAGAGAGATGAGTGTGCTGTTATAGTGATTTACTTCTGCTTTCTACATTTGTTAGGCTGCATCAGCCACTGCAGTGCTAATGCTAAACAGTCCTGATTATGCATATGCATGGTTGGGACTTCTATGAGGGCTACAACTGTAGAGTGACGGTTGATCCGTGAATCCACTGTTTTTTTTTTTCTATGTACAAATGTAAATGTATTTAATATTTTTTATTGACACTCTTTACCTCTTTAAACCTATTACGGTCATAGAGTATGTCTAGTTTTGTAAGCAAGTGGGCAACATTTCAAAAAATCAGTTTGTATCCATAGCACATAGCCGTGCCGCATATACAATTGATACACCAACTTACTCGTATTGATGCATATATATTCACATCACAAGTAGTTACTCACCTTCTTATTTGGAGTGTTGAATAACTTATTCACCATCAAACTTAATCTTAAAAATGTTATGTTTTCTAGGCTGACTGCATGCATTGAGCAATGTAGCTTATTTCCCCCTCTCTCTCTGTGTGTGCATACTTTTTTGTGCATGTCTGATTTTCTTTATGCGTAGTCAGAAACCAAAGAAGGCCAGTACAAATTGTCACTTGAGTATTTGTGCAATACAATGAGGTAAACTTGTATGTAATGTCTGTTTTTTTCTTTTTTTAACTGTATTTGTACGTTTTGTATGATATTCCTACTTTAACCATTTTCTTAAGCTGCTCTGTTCTTTTACATATTTGAAGAATTGGGACAATTCCTTTTCAAGGCACTTCTTAAATGCAGAAAGGTTTGTTTTGTATAGCAATCTTTTTTTTTTCCTCCTACAGATTTGTTTTGATAATATTGTAGTCACAGACAGTGCATGTCACATCACATGTCACAGACAGTGTTGGTTTTACCCCTGTTTGACTTTTACTCTTCCCCTAAGATTCCCCTGCTGTCCAGAAACAGAGCATATCTCTGCTGATACTGACATCCTGACATTGTATTGTGTTCATTGTACTATCTTCAGTGGGTGTGATGGGGAAGTGCCTTCTGAATTCTGAAAGACAGAATGTCTGACAGATAAGCATCCCTCTTAAAAATGTAACACTCCGGCAGTTTTTAGGGAACATTCAAACTTAAGAAAGTGAATATGCGGCGTGCAGCGAGAACTTTTTTTGCTATAAATTTTAGAAAATAGATACAATATATGTTACAATATACGTTTTTTCAAATGTCCAGTATTCTGTACCTCTATTAAACCAGCCCTAGCAACTGTCTGAGCACTGACAGTAAAAGCAGACAGGCTGACAGTTAATTCACAGTTTAACCCTGCAGATCCCTTCGTTACCTCTGGCAACAGATTCCTTCTCCTCAGACACTCTAATGAAATATGTCTGTGTGCACATACACAGTATACTGTATGTACTGCATTTGTGTGTGTCTGTGTGTATGTGTACAATAGGAACTATTCATCCATTAGTGTGAGCAAATTCTTCCTTCAGTCTATTATCAGTGTCAAAATTCTGAATTCTTACCAAATTCCTGAAGCCGGAGCACCATGCCAGAAGTTCTGCTTTGATTTTTATAAAGTATAAAATGCAGTTATTTACAAATGTGTTCATTTGTTGAGACAGTACTTAACAGATGTTATGTATTTTTATGTTGTCGCTGAAGACATTTACGTTTTATTCTGAAATTATCTTAATAAAATGAATATGGTAAATCTTTGCATTTTTCCGGTGGTGTTCTTATTGGGCTGTGGCGTTGTAGTGAGTACATCTGGAACATTATTGGTAAAAATAAAAACTCCCAAGATACCCAGGATCTCACAGGACAACCAGTAAAACAGCAGAGCACTAACACAGAATAAAGATCTAGAAATACTACACACCTTAGAACATATTAATAAAAACAGTCAAAAATAGACACAGTGGGGATTATATTGTTTTTCAGATGTATTTGCTTGAGGATTTCATAGAAATCCTTCTGTTGACTTCTCTGTTCCTGATTAGATTTGATATTTATACAGTACATTAGCACTGTCACATTATAATGTGACTTTTCATAAAATTAGCAACAGACACAGGAGACTACATTAAACCTGGACTGAAATTTGAACATAAGAACTCTAAATGAAATAAACTGTAGCTATACACTGTATATTATAAGATCATCTGTACAATAATATCTGCAAGGTAACTAAATGTAGCTTGGTAAAAAGTACAATAGCTTCCTCTGTAATGAAAGGAAGTATAAAACTTTACCAAAAAATACTCAAGTACCATCCATCCACCTATTATCTATGCTGCTTATTATGTGGAGTTTGCATGTTCTCCTTGTGCCTGCGTGGGTCCCCTCCGGGTACTCCGGCTCCCTCCCACAGTCCAAGGACATGCAGCTTAGTGTGATTTCTGACTCTAAATTTCTCGTAGGAGTGAGTGTGTATGTGCATGTGGTTTTTTGTCTACATGTCAGCCCTGTTTTAAAGAAAGGAGGTTCTTTCTTGTGAAATGTTGTATTCATCTATGTCTTTATTTTTCCTTATAATTGATTCAGCAGAGCTTGACTTATGACTGACCGGAAACACAATGGGCTTAAAGAAGCAAAAACACTGCACTGATGTTTTGAATCATTCTGTGTATAAATGTTATTGTTGGGCAAAATGATGAAAATAATTATGTTTTCCTCTATCTAAGGCCTTTACTGAGGTGCCATGCCTTCCTTTTCATTTATACAAATTTAATTGCATTTAAATATTGTGTGACTGGTTCCAAGTCACACAATATTTTTATGGACTTCCTCCATCACCATTATATGACCATGAAACAATTTGGCCTTGCACGCAGGAAACATTATGTGAGATGCGTGCCTCTGTGCGAGCATGCTCTCCTGCCTTTTCAGGTTGTTTACCACTCAGGAGAAATCTGTTCTTTTCTGCAAAATTGCACAGGTTGAAGTATGTTTATCTGTGTATAAAGCATGCAACAATGACCTTAGGGTAAAACCTGTCTTCACAGCACAGTTAAAAAAAAAAAAAAAGGTCAGGGGGGTAAAAAAATAAGACTTTACTTTGTTCTTGACATTATACAGTAATATTGTCAGTGTATTTATTATATGTGTGAATTTAAAAAAGATGTTTTCATATTTCTTCTAAAAATATTTTGGCTTCAACTGTAAATGATGTATGTGTTTCTAGAGGAAAAGGGGGAAAAGTGATGAACTGTCATTGTCACATAGTATAGATTTAGGACACAGCTATAGAAAGGTAATGCAACTTTTCCATGCCATATGTTTTCATCTGTGATAACATTACCCCTTGAGGTTCTGCTTTTTTATAATTCCAACATCAGTGGAATTACCTCTGGACCCTATAAAACATGACACCGTACATAGGCTTACAGTTTTCAGATGCAACTACAGCAGAGCAAAATGGCTGCTATTTCCCAGTGCAGCGAAACAGTGAGAGGCTGGAAAAAGAAAAGGGAATTATAGTATCTGAGCTTGTTTAAATATTTACTAGGAGGAGAATGGAGGCAAAGGTGCAGTGTTGTTCTGTAACCTTCAGTAAAAAATAACCTCATACATAAAAGAAGGGAAAAAATGTCTGATGTCTCCAACTTTAAAGAGCTATGTCATATTTTAAAGTGATAGAAATCATTTGAAGATTAATTTCTGGCTTATATGTCTTTATTGTTATTAATTAAGAAAATCGCAAAATGAAGTGGGTAATCATTTAATCAGTTGACAGCTATAAATAAAACTCTATCTTTTAACCTTCCAATCTCAAAGTAAGAACACTGGAATGGGGGAAAATAGGAGCCACAGGAGTTTTAACATTTTCTCAGTTTAACAATAAGCCTATGGTTGTTTAAAGGTCGCATGTTTAATCTTGTGTCCAGGAGCACAGCATAAGTACAACAACAAACTGTCACTTGTGTAGAGTTGACCAGACGCTATAAAATTAAAAAGATAAACTGTCCCAGTATAGGTTTTATTTTAGTGTTAGATTTACATTGCATAATGATTGGCTGCAAGGAAATGTCCCATTACATTGAGTTACTCTGATAAATGGATTTTTACTGGCCACCACAAGATGGTGCTATATTTTTTAAACTTTTTTTTTTCTGAACACAGAGATATATTGCATATAAACTGAAGAAGACAATGAGCCTCTGTAAAGCAAAGCACCAAGCAAATTTGCTGAGAAATACTTGAATGAAATCAGCACGTAATGAAGCAATGCCTTGTTGAAGTTATGAAAAATATAATATCATGCTGCTATATTTATAAAATAGTTTTTTTCCACCACATAGTTCTTCTGATATCGAGTGATTTAAACACATTCCTATTTTTACACAGTGTTTGCATTTCACATTTTTATTGAAACACCTTTTTTACAATCAAGTTAATCAATCTGTGACTGAATCTGACATGAAGCCTATAAAGCCTTGAGGGCATCCTGAATTCAGGAAGCTGCATATGAGCATAACTGAAGCTACTCGGAGTAAGCCTCCTCTCTCTCAGACTTTCACACCCTGAGGCACTGTGCTGCACACAAGCTTGTTTACACTCTTCAAACCTGTGTACAGGCTCAGCCTCACTCGCCATGTTTCACCCACACTCAGACTTTGACTCTCTAACAAACACCCATATACTTACCCACACCTCACTGAGTATCCACAGCCTGGACCATGGTAATCCTCTAACTTATAGGCAGTGTGGTGTGCTCAAAGCAAATCCCATTCCTTCAAAAGGCAGACACCTCTGGAGCTGACATGTGGCCCAAACACCTCAGAGGTGATATAACTGCTTTTTTCCTTCTGTGTTTGTTCCTATTTTCTCCGACCCTTGCTGCTCCTCCATGCAAGCAAATACTGATCAAAACACCCTGGATATAATTAGTATAATATATTCTGGGATTATTATAACATACATCAGAGGCAGGATATTCTCTGTAATGTGGTAACAGCACACAGGACATTATTCAGATTTGCTGGTTTTCTAGGTTTGCCATGGCATTGCAATTCAGTGTGCAAAGTAGCCTCTTAGCCACAACTAATGAGTTTCCTAATCTGGAGTTAATTAGGAAAACTTACTATACCACCTTTCCTTTTACATTCATGATGAAATTGGTAATAATGTAATGTAACATAATGTAAGGAACAGTTGCATCTTCATGAGTTGAAGCAGGATTTGCTAGCTCATTAGCTTAAGCTAAGTGTATGCTGGCATTGCATTAGCACTTTGTGGATTTTATCAAGAAAGTGCTACACTGTTGTACTGCATTGCCAGAATAGTTCCCCAGTCCCACCTAACTACATTACCATTTTATTTGTAATATTTTAGAAGAGAAATGCATTTCCTGGTGTAACACTAGGAGTCCTTAATTTTTTCTTTTAGAGCTTCTTGCTTGGTGATCTAGCTGATCTGCAACTGACTGCACAGTTTGGTGCTTTACAGGTATTGAGATTCTGTTTCTGAGTTGGCTGTGTGCTAACTACCGCAATATAATCTACCTGTAGTTTTCTCTTTCCTGTTGCTCTTGTTAACTGCTAACAATGATCTCTCAGGGAGGGCTTTTCATCTTTACCACTTGTGCTTAAAATGGGCCAAGCAAGGTGGCAGCCTCGTTAGATACTCAGTTATGATGCTGTTTCTTCTTTGTAACTTGGTGTAACTAATCTCAGCCAAACACTATTTTGAAACTATTTAGTTTGGCTACTTTTTGACTCTGCACTGTGCTGTGTTGGGTGGAGGAATGATGGATGGACGGCTAGCCCCTGCATACTCTGGCATGTCTCATAAATTCACAGTATTACACCTCCCAGATAGCAGGGATGGAAGTAACGAATTACAATTAGCCTATCAAGTACAGTACATTATTGTGTACTTATTTTTAGAATGTTTAAACTCATTTTACTTTTACTTGAGTGTGATGATTTTGGGGTGTTTTTCTACATCTATAATTTCATAACCCTTTTGCAAAGTCCTCTCTCGCTTGATATAAGCAGAATGGCATAGAATGAATTGAGCCCTGTTGCTGGGGGTCTCAACTCTTCCCAACTATGTGAAGCTATCACAAAGATTTTTATGATTTGGCTGTTATTTTTTTATTTTACTTGCCTGGCAGTCTTTAATTACTTTTTTTCACACTGCTATGTTATTTTGTTTGTTTTTGTTAAGACCAGCATCACTATTGACCTCTTCCGGCATGACTGTTTGTCTTGCTGCTGCTGATGTTGTTGCATCAGCATTCAGTCTCTCAGAACTGTGTGCCCATGATTTTGTGGTGCTGAAACAAGCCTGTGTTAGTTATAGCTTAAATGTGATTGAAAATTTTCCTTTGTGAAGCCAACCTCTGGTCAGAGTGGCAGATATGGAAATTAGTGGAAAGGAAAACACAAATATAAATTAGCGTAAGCAGTTAGTGTAGCTCTAGATAAAACCCCTGACTGGCTATAAAGACAAGTGCCTCCGTGCACAGAATGCTGAGCACAGCTAGCCCCTAGTAAACAAAGCGTCTGCTATTTAGTTTCAGTTGGCTTAATTAGAATGAATGAGGGGTTCTTGTGCAAAGAGGACAGTTTTTGTGGGTAGAGGGAGAGAGGAATTGGCCATGGTAGATGGAAAGCTGGGCTGAGAGATAAAGTTACTAGCGGGTGACACGGACCAATTGGGCAATGACAAACAAAGCCTCCAGCCAAAAGCACATCCATAATGAATTTAGG